AAATATACTGTGGTGGTACTATCAGTTTACCGTATTGTAATTTATACATGTCAAAGTATATGATACATAAAAAAAACACCATAGTACTACTATGGTAAATGTAAATAATAATTATAATAAAAAAAATAAATAAATAAAGGTAGTATCATTATTTTATTTTATTTATTTATATATTTATTGTACATGTAGAGACTTCAGTTTTTGTTATGGATATGTACCCAAGATAAACTGTGGCGGTACCATGGTACAGTGATGGTATCAGATGATAATACCATGGTATTTCCATAGTACTCCAAACTAACTACTTCTAATAATATCACAGTATTACCATTGTACATGTCCAAAAACCAAGTTAGTCCAAAAACCATGGTAGTTCTGGGTACACGGTAATAGCATATAACTGAATGATTAGCACATTCATATACCATAGTACTGAAATTATGCCTCAGAGAATATCAGGGTACATACTGATAATAAAACATGGTATTACCACAAAAATGTCCAAAATAGTAATATCGTGGTCCTACAGCTTTGGACAGTATATGTTCAGAAACCATATTAGTAGCATGGTAGTTTTGAGAACTTTGTATCATGGATTACCATATTCATATACCGTGATACTAAAATAATACAGAAAGAAGCTTTCTTAGAATATCATGGTATTATTACCACAGTACCATGTCAAAAACAACTGATATTACCATGGTACTTTTTGTGCAAGGAAAATAACAGAACAGCATTCCCAAGCCCAGTGCCAATACAGTGAGTCTAGATACACATCTCTTGGCTGTCGGCCGCGGCTCTTAGCACTAAGCTAATAGGAGCGCTCCTTTTATCATGATGCAGGAACCCGATACTGCAGATGAAATGTGGGGCACGAGCAGCCTGCGCTGCTCTGTCAACCAAAACACCTGGCATCACCCTTGAGCGGCCCATGCCAGTCGGTCAGCTGAGGAAGGTCATTAGCTGTGTGAGAGTGTGTGTGTATGGAGTAATATAGATCTAAATTAAGCTTCATGTCATTCTAAAGGAGTACCGTTTGACTTGACCTTTGCTTCTGATACCACACAATGTATACATGTATTCATCATTTATAATGTGTTTAATTTTAAGCGAAGAACTACAGCTTCTTCATCATCAATGATCAATGAAATCTTGCCAATAGCTAATGAAGTCATCTAATGTAAGTATAATAAAGTGTGATGCAATAATAGCAAAACAAAAGATTTTGAAGAAGCAGTACCATTAGAATAGACTGAGATGCTCTGGACGCTGAACTTGATCTTCTGTCTCCACATCCTGGTCCAAAAACCTTCTGGAAACCTTCCAGGGTAAACTCTCACTTTCCACCATCCAATTAAGTCCTGCCTTACATTTATTTATTTATTTTTAATTACATATGGTATTTAACAACAACAACAATAAAAAAAAAATTAATAAAAAAAATTAAAAAAAATCATAATAATAATAATATTAAGCTTATCACATCACCTACTCAAAATGACTGTAAAAGCCAACTATTGGTTTTAAAAAATTTAAATATGGATGACCTTAGGTTTATAAATATTTATATATCATAAAATTATGAGGGGCCAAACAGGAATTATTTTTATATGACATTTAAATACACGCTGTATATTATAAATATCCTAAATATTTTTACTTTTTTTACTTTTACTTTTAGTCATTTAGCAGACGCTTTTATCCAAAGCGACTTACAAATAAGAAAAAGTAATTAAAACTAAAAGCTAAAACTCTATAAATACTATATATATACACACATTTAAGAAAATAAAAGAAATTAAATAAAAATGACAAATGCATACAACAACACTTCAAAACTAAAACATTTAAATGAAAACAAAAAAATAAAGCTAAAAACAATTCAAACATACACAAATAAGAAAAAGTAATTAAAACGAAAAGCTAAAAGCTTTTAAGAAAATAAAAGAAATTAAATAAAAATGACAAATGCATACAACAACATTTCAAAAAATATATATGTTATAAATATAATGTTAGATTCATAAATATTTAAATCCATAACTATATATTGATTCTCATTTATATAATCTATATTCACAGTTAAAATTATATATTCAGGTTTACATCTATATATTCACATTTTCATTTATATATTCAGATTTGCATCTTCATATTAAGATTTATAACTATATTTATAAGATGTATAATTATAACTATACTATAATCTTTCATCAGTGGTGCTAAAACCAAAATGCGTTCTTCAAATGTTGAGTACTGTATGTACACACACACACAGACACACACACACAGACACACACACACACACACAGAGATTTAATATATTTCCTGCTTGGCCATTCATAAAATATATACACTTATATATGTACATGTGGAACTTGATAACTTACTGTATGAATCTGCAGGCTATTTCCAATGAATTCTGGGTGTCTGGGGGAAAAGGATGCAAGAACATTTACTTATTTGAGCATGTTTATACTGTATAATACTCAAGATTGAACAGTACTTGGACAATGGCAGAATTGCAGAAGGAATGGAGATGTTCAGCAAACTACTGTTTTAGTGACCAGCAGATTTATGGGTCAAAAGCAGGCCAGATGTCTTCGTGTTCGCTATAAAACAGGTGTGCTCTTAGCAATTACATGACGTAGTCGTGACTGAAGGCACTTACATGCAATATTTAAGGCAGGTGAAGGGCAGGTCAGTGCTTTCCTCTTCCAAACACTCTAGCTGGTCTCTTCTGAGGCTCCGCTGATAACGTCTCACTGGAGTCTCTTATAATGGCAGCATAATGAAATGAGCAAAATCCACTCAACTGGCAAGATTAGCTCGGGTACGAGACTCGCCAATGAAAGGAGAGGACATAATTGAAATAAACGAGTGATGACTGTGAAGGACAAGACGACAGAGGGATGAAATGTGCATTTCATTTTCATAGTGAGGTCATCGGGAGCTTTGAGGCCATTACTAATCCTGTTGGGAATGGTACATCATCATTAGTATATTAAATAAATGTGTTATAGTGAGAGGTCCAATACCTCAGAAATAATAAGTCTCAGCATCATATTTAAGACTTTAATGTACTGAACTTGAATAAAGGGGCCATAAGCTACATACGTACATTATACACACCCATATCAGGATTATTATTGTTATCTCAAACCATTAAATAATAATAATAATAATAAAATAAAATAAAACTAACTGAAATAAGTTAAGTAAGAAGCTAACTACGCTAAGTCTACATATTGTATATTGTAATTATATTTTAGATTTTATTGTAGTTAATGTTAAGTACTAAAATAACTAAAGCTCAAAGCTTTAACCTAATATATATATATACACACACATACACAATTTTTTTTAATAAAAACAAAAACTAATAAAAATGAAAAAAAAAAAACATTACATTTTAAGTGAACACAAAATCTACAAAAAAAATCTAAATACTATTAGAACTATAATCATATATCTAACTAAATATCAATGAAATTTACCTTCAATGAGACATTAGATACCATAAATCCCCCTAAAAATACAAAATAATAAATAAAAAACATTAAACTAAAACATAGTACATTCATTTAATCAACAATATTCATTTCATTTCACAATAATAAATAAATAACTATATATATATATATATATTAGTGTTGTCAAACGATTAATCGCATCCAAAATAAAAGTTTTTGTATTTTTCTTAAATATATACATGCATGTGTGTGTATTTATATATACATAATAAATATACACAGTATACACACATATATTATGTAAACAAAAACTTTTATTTTGGATATATATGGGTTAAGACGGTTTAATATACTTTCTGTTGATAATTGGGCCTGCAAAAGCTATTTTCTTAAACATTTTAAAGCAATTTAGCATAAGTCTACAAAGTATATTAATATGTAGTATATATTAAAAGAGCAGGTAAATGCAGTTGGAGCAAGAAAATGCTGTCCCTTTAAAATGCACTGCAGCTCATTGATATCCGTGGCTGGTGGTCTTCTCCTAAATAATGAAGATTAAACTGACATCATCACAGTTATTATCTCTCTTTTCAAATTTTATCAACCTTTTGTTCGACAGTGCTCTCACAATTCATTTATCCCCACCTAACATCTCTCGCTCTTGTCATCCACAGGTTAATTAAACTGAAATTCTGTCCAGATACATGCAAACACTTTAATGCCAAATTCCCTAATCAGCAAAATTCCCCAAATAGGTCCATTAGGCCCTAATAACTTCAGCACAGCCCTCTGTAGCTTCATTGGTAGAGGATGAATTAGCACTAATCATCAGGAGTAATTATCAGTAATGTTAGATAAGTATGTTCTCTCAGTCATCATTATGAGTATGAAGCTATAAGACTGTACAAGACACAATGAACACCAAACAGCTTCACATGACTGAAGTCATCATCAACCTGAACCAACACCACTTTATTTACACACAAACTTACACGGTTTCATTTCAAATAAAAAAGGTACCAAAATGTCATAGTTAATAAGAATGAATGTCATTAACATTTTATTTACTCCAAAATGTGGGCCTATTCATGTTTGGTTATGGCATGTGTAATGGAAGCACACACATTTCTTTTTTTTCTTCTTTAAAAAATAAAACAACAAGAATAAGGTATCAAAACAACAACAAAAATTATAGTCATCCATGTAATTTGATTTCACAAATTATGCAGACCAGCATTTAGATTTTCATAAACATATAAGAGAGCAAAAAACAAATAAACAAACAATCAAAAACAGCAAAATAAAGAAAATGACACAATATTTTGTCTCTTTTGTTAGGTTTCAAAATAAAATTTACAAAAAAAAATAAAATAAAGAAAACAAATATAAAAAGATTAAATAAAAAAATATCTAAACAAAATCCAAGCAAGATAGTAGATTTTCCATAAACATTGAATGAAAAATGTGATATAAAAATATAGAAATTAAAATCAACTTTTCAATGACAAGACAGACATAACACCAACTGATTATTCATGCAACTATGTAAAGTTAATAGAGTAGCATATGTGTAAAAAGTTAAATACACAAAACTTCATGTATTCTCAGTATCTATCCAGCCATTTTTCCTGTAAACCACTTCATTCAGGCGATAAAAATCTCAACATAAATTGGGTGCAAAAATTCAATGTTTGCTGGTTCTTGTAAGATCCTGTTTTGACTGGCAATATATCTCCTATCTATAATAAACAGATAATTTTACACACCAAGGACATCAGGAAGTCTTGTTTTTAAAGCAGTGATCCAACAACAATGATTGTTCACTACAAGAGCCCTGTGTATAGAGCGTTTGCAGCTATGGTGCAGCATCTCACATCGCAGAACTACCATAAAAAGGCTGAAAGGGAAAACAAATACCAGGAATGTAAAAACCTCTACCTAATATAAAAGAAAAGACGTGACAACAAAAGCCCAAAATAGTTTGAGACTTTGATATCGGATCAGCTATTTGTGTAACCTTGTCCGTTTTGGTGTTTTTGGGTCTCAGCATGGGTTTACTAAAATCAGTCAAGGAGGGAGGTGGTTGAGAGAGAATATTACCCTCAAAACACCGCATGAAAAAAACACTTTAGGATTGATTCACCGAGTTAAAAAGTTAATGGAGTGTTTTAGGGGGACAAAGTTACTGCAAAGGCAATCAAATTCTGAAAAACATTTCTTATAAGCACAAAAAAGTAAACTGATGGTGAATTTCTTCACATTTAAAAACTTCCTACCAATCACATCCTCAATGCATTACTCATGAGGGGAAGAAACGGCCATACTATCCAAAGCAGATCATCATATTAAACATTTGTGTGGTATACCGAATTAAATACGTGCTAAACATACATATATACAAACCCTATGTGCTTCTGTAAGCTGTAACTTTTAAACGTAGCTGACTCTGGTGTAAAATCGCCTTGATGTTCAGAACTGATGCTAATTAAGAGGAAAAATGGCTGGCATCCGAAACAAATCACAAACTTCACTGAACTAGTTCAATTTGGAGTAATCGATGGCTGTGTCAAAACAATTTGGTTTGCTTTTTCTTCTCATAAGTCTAGGAAAGCTAATTAGATTGTTCTTGTAAATGGACACAATTACATAACCACATAACTTTTTCAGCACCAGCCTCGTCTAGACAGCTCCGATCATTGACTTTTTCTGCCGGGGATCTTGGTATTGTTCATCTCCGTATGGGCCGTAGCGATCAGGGCTGGCCGTCCGATAGTTCCCCTGGTTCAGCGTTTCGTATCGCGGTGGTGCTCTGGCACCCGGGGGGTTCGATGAGGGAGGGACGTCCTGCCTCACGGGACCCCTCTGTTGAGCTGGAGATGAGGGATAGTAACCACCTGTGGCCTCCGCGGGTCTGGGTACGGGCAACCGGGGAGAGCGTGGAGGATAGTTGTCTTGATGGGTCTCGTAGATGGGGTTGGGGTAATGGACGGGGTCTCTCTGGTTGGCCCAGTTCTGGTTCGAGTAGTCCTCCACTGGCATCCTCCTGGAAAACCAATACCACAGATAATGAAGCAACTAGTAAGGCTAGGAATAGTTCAGTCAAACATAAGAGATCTTTCATTATTTGCCCACGATGTTGTTCCATACACTCTTCTAAACAAGGTTTTTTTTTTTTTGCAGAAATGCCATCGAAGAACCATTTTTGGTTCAACAAAGAACCTTTCAGTGAACAGTTCTTAAAAGAACCATTTTTTTCTTAGTATGAAGAACATTTAAAGGGGCAGTTCACCCAAAAATGAAAATTCACCCTCATGTTGTTCCAAACCCATAAGACCTTTGTTCATCTTCGGAACACAAATGAAGATATTTTTGATGAAATCCGAGAGCTTTCTGACCCTGTATAGACAGCAACGCAACTGACACGTTCAAAGCCCAAAAAGGTAGCAAGGATATCGGTAAAATAGCCCATGTGACATCAGTGGTTCAACTGTAATTTTCTGAAGCTACAAGAACACTTTTTGTGCGCAAAGAAAACAAAAATTACAAATTTAGTCAACAATTCTTCTCCGTGTTGAAGACTGACAGGGAAGAAAAGAAATTGTTGAATAAACTTGTCATTTTTGTTTTCTTTGTGCACAAGACGTATTCTCAAAGCTTCATAAAGTTATGGTTGAACCACTGATGTCAACAATGTCCTTACTACGTTTCTGGGCCTTTAATGTGGTGGTTTCGTTGTCTATGCAGGGGCAGAAATCTCCATCAAAAATATCTTAATTTGTGTTCCGAAGATGAACGAAGGTCTTATGGGCTTGGAATGACATGAGGGTGAGTAATTAATGACAGAATTTTCCTTTTTGGGTGAACTATCCCTTTAAAAAAATCCAAAGATCCTTTTGTCCAATGAAAAAGATCCATGGATGTTAAATGTTCTTCATGGAACCATACACTCTAAAAAATGCTGGGTTGTTTCAACCCAACTTTGGGTCAAATATGGACTAACCCAACCGTTGGGTTAAATTTTTACATAAAATTTTTAACCCAAAAGTTGGGTTAGTCCATATTTGACCCAACGGGGGGTTCGATGAGGGAGGGACGTCCTGCCTCACGGGACCCCTCTGTTGAGCTGGAGATGAGGGATAGTAACCACCTGTGGCCTCCGCGGGCCTGGGTACGGGCAACCGGGGAGAGCGTGGAGGATAGTTGTCTTGATGGGTCTCGTAGATGGGGTTGGGGTAATGGACGGGGTCTCTCTGGTTGGCCCAGTTCTGGTTCGAGTAGTCCTCCACTGGCATCCTCCTGGAAAACCAATACCACAGATAATGAAGCAACTAGTAAGGCTAGGAATAGTTCAGTCAAATATAAGAGATCTTTCATTATTTGCCCACGATGTTGTTCCATACACTCTTCTAAACAAGGTTTTTTTTTTTGCAGAAATGTGGGCAGTTCACCCAAAAATGAAAATTCACCCTCATGTTGTTCCAAACCCATAAGACCTTTGTTCATCTTCGGAACACAAATGAAGATATTTTTGATGAAATCCGAGAGCTTTCTGACCCTGTATAGACAGCAACGCAACTGACACGTTCAAAGCCCAAAAAGGTAGCAAGGATATCGGTAAAATAGCCCATGTGACATCAGTGGTTCAACTGTAATTTTCTGAAGCTACAAGAACACTTTTTGTGCGCAAAGAAAACAAAAATTACAAATTTAGTCAACAATTCTTCTCCGTGTTGAAGACTGACAGGGAAGAAAAGAAATTGTTGAATAAACTTGTCATTTTTGTTTTCTTTGTGCACAAGACGTATTCTCAAAGCTTCATAAAGTTATGGTTGAACCACTGATGTCAACAATGTCCTTACTACGTTTCTGGGCCTTTAATGTGGTGGTTTCGTTGTCTATGCAGGGGCAGAAATCTCCATCAAAAATATCTTAATTTGTGTTCCGAAGATGAACGAAGGTCTTATGGGCTTGGAATGACATGAGGGTGAGTAATTAATGACAGAATTTTCCTTTTTGGGTGAACTATCCCTTTAAAAAAATCCAAAGATCCTTTTGTCCAATGAAAAAGATCCATGGATGTTAAATGTTCTTCATGGAACCATACACTCTAAAAAATGCTGGGTTGTTTCAACCCAACTTTGGGTCAAATATGGACTAACCCAACCGTTGGGTTAAATTTTTACATAAAATTTTTAACCCAAAAGTTGGGTTAGTCCATATTTGACCCAACATTGGGTTGAAACAACCCAGCATTTTTTAGAGTGTAGATACCAATAAAGAACCTTGATTTTTAAGAGTGTAACTTTTGTAATTTTTTCCCACTGAAAATATAAAACGATACATTTTGAAACAAGAACAATTTCCTCAAGCTCCAAAAATTCCATAAATGTTATTTCAAGACATCTTCACGCTAACTTCATCATTTGACTTCAGATAAGTCATACAGCAATGAATGAAAATCACGCCTCATTTTTGGTGACACATTTGATTTGAGAAAAAAATATTTTCAGATAATTTTTTTAATTTTCATCTGTTCATCTCAAAGCTGTCATATGACTTTAGAAGACTTGAAATAGAGTTGTAAGGAAATATATGGTCACAAATATATTCAAATATAAGTCTTACAGTGTATTAATGATCTTTCTTGCCCTTTTTGAGATCGACGGATGTGGTTAGGGTTTTAAAATTCTCTGGCATAAATAAAACAGCATATGGGTGTGGAACAACATGAGGGTCAGTAAATTATGGCAATTTTCATGGTCAACATAGCCATGCTGCTCTGTAGCACAACCTGACGACCAGCATGGTTCTTCTGAAGTTGGTTTACTAAAGAAGTCTTGCTGGTTAAGCTAGTTAAGAAGCCTTGCAAGGAAACCAGAGCACCATCAGCCCATGCTAGTGAACTCGACAGGATCTAACCGTTGGGTTTCAGTCAGTTCTTCATGTATAGCTTCAGATTTGGGCTTGAAATAAAAATAAAAAAAACATGCAATTTGGTCTTTTTTTTTTAACAGGTTGGATTCACATCCAAAACACAACACATGCACTTTAGCAGGGAACACTGATGCGGACAGTTTTGTTCTGGTACAGAAGGTGAACAGCATTCAAACCCCCAAACTGGAATACTTAATGCGTAAACTTCCTTCAAATTAAACATTTACATTCACTTACAGGGAGCCAATCTCTGCTATTCGCAGAAAAATGATTGCACTATTTTCAAAGGAGTCGTGGCATTTGCGAATAATAAATAAAAAAACGAAAGAGTCTTTCGTAGGCAGTCAGGGAAATTAAGCCAAACAAGATAAAAGCTGCGGCTACAGGAGGACCAAAGAAATGAATAAATGAGAGCCTAAAGCAGGGGTCTTTATAAAACTACATGAATAAATGGAGGGCATCTGCAGATTGAAGGGTAATGGATGCTATATGGAAGGAAAAAACGGCAGTATGCATTTGCATTCTTAATGTTTTCAGGGTTACAGCCTACATTACTTATCCAAATGTTGCATCCGTCTACGATCCATCCCTCTAAAAAACTAACAAGGGGTAGCAGGCAACCTTTATGTCAAAACCTGCACTGCACAACATGTGTGTGAAGGTTTCATGCGTGCAGCATTTGATTTGATGTTTAATATAGTTCGCTCTAAAGCATGACTGCAGTCCATTCACTATTTCACCTGCCAAAGTTAGTTACAAACACAGAAGCGTGTGGGTATTAATGATCTTTCTTGCCCTTTTTGAGATCGACGGATGTGGTTAGGGTTTTAAAATTCTCTGGCATAAATAAAACAGCATATGGGTGTGGAACAACATGAGGGTCAGTAAATTATGGCAATTTTCATGGTCAACATAGCCATGCTGCTCTGTAGCACAACCTGACGACCAGCATGGTTCTTCTGAAGTTGGTTTACTAAAGAAGTCTTGCTGGTTAAGCTAGTTAAGAAGCCTTGCAAGGAAACCAGAGCACCATCAGCCCATGCTAGTGAACTCGACAGGATCTAACCGTTGGGTTTCAGTCAGTTCTTCATGTATAGCTTCAGATTTGGGCTTGAAATAAAAATAAAAAAAACATGCAATTTGGTCTTTTTTTTTTAACAGGTTGGATTCACATCCAAAACACAACACATGCACTTTAGCAGGGAACACTGATGCGGACAGTTTTGTTCTGGTACAGAAGGTGAACAGCATTCAAACCCCCAAACTGGAATACTTAATGCGTAAACTTCCTTCAAATTAAACATTTACATTCACTTACAGGGAGCCAATCTCTGCTATTCGCAGAAAAATGATTGCACTATTTTCAAAGGAGTCGTGGCATTTGCGAATAATAAATAAAAAAACGAAAGAGTCTTTCGTAGGCAGTCAGGGAAATTAAGCCAAACAAGATAAAAGCTGCGGCTACAGGAGGACCAAAGAAATGAATAAATGAGAGCCTAAAGCAGGGGTCTTTATAAAACTACATGAATAAATGGAGGGCATCTGCAGATTGAAGGGTAATGGATGCTATATGGAAGGAAAAAACGGCAGTATGCATTTGCATTCTTAATGTTTTCAGGGTTACAGCCTACATTACTTATCCAAATGTTGCATCCGTCTACGATCCATCCCTCTAAAAAACTAACAAGGGGTAGCAGGCAACCTTTATGTCAAAACCTGCACTGCACAACATGTGTGTGAAGGTTTCATGCGTGCAGCATTTGATTTGATGTTTAATATAGTTCGCTCTAAAGCATGACTGCAGTCCATTCACTATTTCACCTGCCAAAGTTAGTTACAAACACAGAAGCGTGTGGGTGTGTGTAGACTGTGCACTGTACTGTGAGGTGAGTGAGTGTGTGTGTGTGTGTGTGGTTATAATCCGTCAGAAGTGTGTGTAGTGTGTCTGTCAGCTCGGACCACCCAAGAACAACTGAAACAGAAATACTGCAGTCTTGAGCCTAAACAGAGTGTGTGGGTTCGTTTAAAGGCTGGAGACAGATAAGGGTCAAACATAGCCAGACTCAAGACTCCAGGCTAATATTACTAATGTTTCATTTTGCTTTCAGAGTGACTGTATCGATAGCACTCATAACACAAATGCTTCTATAAAGAGTAATAATATGTTTACAGAGAACTAATAGTTAATAATTGCAGGTGGATTTAACAGCAATTAACATCGGAGAAATATCAGGGTATGAATCCTTAATTATTCACTGTTCATTTTTTAAAGCCATTAGAAATGTTTCTAGTAGCTGGACTTTAAGTTTTATAAATGTGCGCCAATGAATCTCAGATTAAAACAACTGTCTGCTCATAAAACAAAATTTCTGCAATCCACCTCTCTCACGCTAGCACTAATCAACACTCAACACTCGGAGAAACCAGCATGTGTGAGCGAGCCGTCCGCTAACATATTTTCCGCCTTACGACAAGGGAGGAATCGGTTTGCCTGAGCTCCCAGCACCTGCCCAAGACGTTCGGAAGGAAATTCTTCTCTTGGATCCTAATTTGACCTCGACTCCTGTGTCTTCCCTCAGAGACAGACGTGCACACACAATGCCAAACAGCTGGTGGGTGAGGGCGAACAAAGGAGGGTGTGTTGAATTGTAAGTAACAGGATGAACTTATGACCAGTCAATGAGCGAGGATGGATTAATGGACTGACTCAGACTTATGCCAATGTTCTAAACAATAAACTGCAACAAAAACAAGACCAGAAAATTACAGTTTGTACGTGAACAGATAGACCGATGAATAGGTAGACAGACAGACAGACAAACAGATAGACAGATAGATAGATAGATAGACAGACAGACAGACATGCAGACAGAATAAATAGACGGACTAAATATACAGTTATACAGACAGACACATTGATAGATAGACATAATTTGTCTGAATGAAGAGGTAGACAGAAATAAATATAGACATACAGACAGATACCGTGTTTATCTACCGGACTGGATTAATCTATAGCCAATTATGTGTGTAGAATTGGTTAGATATATTCCATCTATGGCACTAGTTCCAGACATTAAGGCCGTAGGGAAAATAGGAGCTGATGGAGGCAGAAAACAAAATAAGAGTTTAATTTCCAAACACTGATTTCATTACGGCTCCTGTGTTTCAAGGAAAACAATGTTAAAGCAGAACACAGTCACTGCGCTTTATTTACTTGGAAGCAAAGCGGCAGCCGCAGCCAAAACCCAATATAAAGCAGAGTGAGATGTCATGAGAGAATGAAAAGAAGTAACAGTGGTTTCTGTTGCCAAGATGAATGAACAAAGAAAAGCGCACTCCTTCCTGATAATCTGAATCAAAACATCCTTTTTATAGAGGCAGAACCTTGCCATCTTAAATAAACGAATCCTTTTTAATCATAATTTCACTGTATGTTCTCTAGCAGAGCTGAACGTTCTCAGGAGTGCTGCTTTTATTGGCAGTCGCACAACTGGTGGCTTTCTTGACGCTCTGTTGTCTGTTCCAGCTACATGGAGTCTTCTCTTTAATTTCAATGATTTGGTCTTGGAAACTATTGTTTTAAATGAGCTGTAATTTCAAACACATGCTGAGATGTAAAGATCCAAACTGTACTGAGCGGTGTCCGTTCTCAAGCTCTGTTTGCAGACAGTCGTGGTGTTGTGTAACCTCCTGCCTTTGGCTGATCTTTATCCAATCAAATGCAGGCTTAAGACTCAGGCCGATTAGCCGGCGAGTCTGCTGGGATAGAGCTCTTCACCCTAATCCACCTCCTGCTGAGGCTAAACGGTAACGGAAATGTTTCTTTTGTATGCAAATGCAATGACCTAAGACGCAAAGCATTTCTAAAGTTTATTACCGTGTTTTCACATAGTGACGAGGGTTATGTGAGAGGTTAAAAGAAGCTATTTCTACTAAGACTTTGAGCCATTTGGCAGTAAAACATGGATGTGTTTAATATAGTTTCATAATTTAATGCTAAAATTATTTTAGTATAAAACGAAATATTATACTAAATAAAATGCTATACTACACAACTTAATGCAACGGCCATGCAGAGTAATAAAACGAACAAAATGCAAAATAATGAAAGAAAACTAAGAGAATGACCCTAACTGACTACTATTCGTAAAGAAACAAAAAGCAACAATACTGTAACGAAATTTAACAAAACATGTACTGTTATGTTGAATTGTGTTTTAACGAAAAAGAAATGCAGAGAATGAAAGCTTTTGAAAAGAAAAGAAACTAAATATTGTGCAAACACAAAATCAGTGTTAATAAAAGAACAAACTATTAAAATGTTTTTAAATAAAATAAAGCCGAAATAAAAATATTAGATAAAAACTTTAAAAATAAATAATAAACAATCAATAATTTGTATTGCTAGAATTACTAAAAGTGATAGAATTACTAAAACTTAAAAGCTGAATATAATTTTTTTAAGAAACATAAAACAAAAATTAAATTACAAAAGAACATAAAAATTCCTAAAAATTAAAATATAAGATTTAAAGCTAATTAAAAACATTAATAAATACTATAGAAGTATAACTATACTAGTATACTATAATAGTATAACACTAAACAAAACAAAGAGAACGATCCTAACAGAGAACAAAACTTTTCGTAAAGATGCAAAACACAAAAAATACTGTAATGAAATCTAATGAAACATAATTGAATTCAGTGTAATGTTACATAATGAAAGAAATAGAATGCAAATAGAATGAAACATTTTGAAAAACTAAACACTGTGAAAACAAAACAAAGAGAATGATAATTTTCAAACAGAAATCAAACACGACGAAACCAAATAGGGAACACATCTTTCAACAACAGCCCGATACGCAATAGTTGTGTATAGTCAATGCAACAAAATAAACTTTTTTTTTTTAAATAAACTGATATTTAGTTATATAAAAGACATTTTTAAAAGAACCATAACGTAATAAAACAAAACAAAATGTAACTTTCATTCAAACCAGCAACCTTCTGCTCACCAGCTCTGAGCTTTAACCACTACACCACATCACCATCCTCAGGTCTCGCTGAGGCTGCCGCAGACTGACTGATTGTGTGTGACTGCTGCATTATGGCTCCTATAGAGGAACACAGTATAAAATTGCTCTCTGTGACAAGAGTGATGTGACAAACTGTTTGAAGTGATCGGTTTCAGCCTTGAGGAACTTTTCGAAAAGACCGAAACAAGCACTTTTGCTTCTACTGAGTCATACATACATACGCAGGGAGAGCGAGAGAGCGAGAGAGAGCGAGAGAGAGAGAGAGAGAGAGAGAGAGAGAGACGGCGCACAGGGAAATATATGCTAATGTAATGGAGCGCAGTCATTTGAAAGGAAATGGGCTTGAATGAGCACCCCGAGGGAACCACAGCACAAAGTTCAACCCTGAAAAATGTATTTCATTTCATTTAAATAGTCCGCTCTTATGAATACATCGGGGCTTCGGGGCGGCACCGCTGCTTCGGGGAGAGCTGGGAGTCGCAGGAGGGCTGAGGTGGGAGTTTATTTTTGGCGAAAAATATCAAAAGATGTGGAGCCTGAGAAAAGTACAAATAAATGATTTTATATGCAAAGGAAAACTTTGTTCAACTCGCTCTGATGTCTCATTTGTAGGTGTTTTACAGGTCTCAGTTCTTGAAAATATGCTTTGATGTGGATTTGGGTGGATTTCGAAAGGACTGAAAGCTCCAAATCTAGATAAATGATATGATAAAGTTTAAGTAGATTGTTACCATATATGCCATATATACTCTACTAAGATACATCAAATAATACCATGATTTAACTATGGTCCAAAACAAAAGCAAAGCAAAGCAAAGCAAAGCAAAGCAAAGCAAAACGTGCTGCTGCGCTCCTGCTCCGGTCAGTTCTGGCTTGTGCAACCCAAACCTGGTGCTAATCCAGCTTGATTCTTTGAAAGCAATGAAGCCTTGGAAAAATCAAGCTGCCCTGACCTCAAACAGGAAAATAAAATAAAATAAAATAAAAAACAAAACAAAACAAAACAAAATAAAATAAAATAAAACAAAATAAAACAAAACAAAACAAAACAAAACCATGGTACTTTTTGTTGGTATTCCTTAGCATTTAGGTTCACAAGATCTCAAAATGCAGTTTTAACTTAGTTTAAGTATCTTTCTTAACAAAATTCTCCTCAAAGTCCACCACAAAAAGAAACCTAAGAAAACGGTTTATGCTAATGCCTCGTTCTTGTGATTAGCAACATCATTAGGAAATATATATTTTTGCATATGAAATTTATTTTGGACACATCTAGCGCCAACAGAAGCCAAGAAGATATTTTGCAGAATATTGGTGTTCAAACAACATTAGATCCCACAGAATTTCTTATTGTATGAACAAAAAACAATTTTTAAAACATTTGATGATGAGAGAATGTGTTCTTGGGTGAAAAACCTAATTTGAAAAAACACAACTAAACGCTGCTTTGTTGTTCGTAAACTACTGTTATGTTGTTCGTTTTAGTGGACATATCCATGAATTGCAAAACATCAATCATGTCATCGCACTTTAAAATGATCTAAATAATAATCAGAGTGCCGTTAGATACAGATTTGGCTTTAGCTGCCCTTTAATGTGAGCTACCAATATTCAGACGGCCACAGTTGAGCCATGTCATATCTGTGTATGTTTCTGAAGGAGAATGATTGAAGCACTTAAGAACCCGGGATGTGAGCCAGGATAGCATTCCCAGCTTCCTGTCTGGATCCCGGTCCTCTGGGAGCAGATCAGGTGAATATTCCGGGATGAGAAAAGCACTCGGAAGGCAAACACTCAAGATTTAATTAGGGGGCTGAAAGAGGATTAGACTGAGCGTGTGTGTGTGTGTGTGTGAAGGAAGGGAAGTCCCCTCCACCTTCCCCAGTCTTGTTTTGTTGACTCTCCGGATCCAACAGTGCCACATATGTCCAGCATATGGTACAAGAACACGCAAACCTAAGCACAAGTGAAAATACACACGCAAACTCAGGTTTACCTGGGCACGGAGGCGTACAGGCGATCGGAGTCGTTGTATCTGGGAACCATTCGTGGATCAGGCCCTCTGATCTGTGGAACACAGAGAAATCGAATTAGATCATCACAATCTTCTAATGTGACATTTAGATGTGGTTTTAAAGGTGAAGAGTGTCATTTCTGTACACTACCAACACCAAATGGAAGAAAGCATTGGTGACTATGAAAAACAAGTGCATTATAAAAAGCAGACAGCACATGAAAACCATGTTTATACATAATTTGTCTGTTTTTAATGTCAAAATGTGAACAGACACATGTATAGGATTTGCACATACATTTCACATACATTTCCATTCAAAGGTTTGAAGGTAAGTAAGTCTCTTGATCTAAGAGGCAACAAAATCAGTAATACTATAAATATTATTAAAATTTTTGTTTTCTATTTTAATGTATTTTAAAAGGTAATTTATTCCGGTGATGACAAAGCTGAATTTTCAGCATCATTACTCTACTACTTATTATCATTATCAGTGTTGAAAGCAGTTGTGCTGCTTAATTTAATTTTATTTTATTTTTTCTGGACTCTTTGGCAAACAGAAAATTCAAAAGAAAAGCATTTATTTAAAATAAAATCTTGTAACATTTTAAATGTTTTTACTGTCACTTTTGATCAATGCAATGTGTTATTGCTGAATAAAAGTATCACTTTCTTAAAAAAATACAAAACTTACTGACCCCAAATTTCTGAGCAGCAGCATACATGAAGAAATCAGTTTACATGAAGAGTGAAACCAATAGGCTTTTGCTTAACATGTTTAAGACTTGGAAAAAAAAAAAAGTTCAAGATGTTTAATCCTAACCTAACTTGGCCAAATTTTAAACCAGTTTGAAATCTGGTTCGGTACTTTAACTAGTCGCGGTGTCTCATAAGAGCATACACTACAATCTGGGTCTTTTTGTTGCTTAAAACTCAAACTCAAGACTTAAAACATCAAAAGGCGATAAGCTTGAGAGTTGTAGTGTGCATTGAAGCTAGAATATGTAATGAAGATAGATAAATTCACATCATATCTGTACGACGACTATAAATCAAGGAGAGCAAGAGAGGGAGAAAAGAGTAAACAAGAGAGACAAATGATGCAGCTCGACTGATTTAGTGGAGAAAAGAGGTCAGTGTCTTCAGAGAAAGTCTCCAGCAAGACCATTTCCCCCCCTCCAAAAACGTTATACTTAATATATGCAGGATTCATGAATTATATATCTACCCAGTTTAATACTATAATTATCATCAGTATGAGCTATTAACTTCAAGTTAGCATGACCCTCAAAGTGCAGAGCAGAACAAAACACGAACAGGCAATGACAAACATGATACTTGATTTTTAATGCATTTTTTGTCTCTGCAAACATGAAGGCAAATTGGATGCATTATTTTCCCATTACATCTCCTATGGTTTTGTTACGAGTACAATGAATAATTAAAGCTTATGCGACTATTCCAAGACTTTGCGAGCTTGTGTAAGAGAAATAACTTGCGTTAGACACACATGGCAGGGTTTAACAGTAGTCTCATATGACCGCAGTGGGATTGTGGGAGTGCTGCGTGTGGCAGCTCCTGACAGATGAAGGTTAGAGGCATTATGTAAAGAAGGGCAGCTCATTTCTGGAGACTATGTGAGGAAAATGGTGGCATTTGTCTCAATGAGGCGTTTATAAGTGCACGTCCTCCCGCGTATCATGGCGGACCTGAGCACTACCCTGCATGCTAAGTGTGATCTTTAAACACAAAGGTGTCTCTCGCAGGGATCGAATGTCACCGAGAGTAAGAGAGAGAGATGACGAGGCGCACGCAGCGTAAAGGTCACATTTAGAGAAGCGAGAGATGATTGTGGGAATGATAGACCGCTGCGCACGCCAAATGATCAGAACGATATACAATTCCTCGCTTTCCTCTGGTCCTTTCATTCTTTATTCCGTCTATTCTGGACATACAGGTGATCAGTCATGCCTATTGTCACAGATGGAAATATTTATTCTATCGCTTCTCTCTCCAACTTTTCTTTCTCCACAGATCAGCTCTCACTATTGGGAGCAAAGACCCAAGTTTTCAATGTAGAGGTCAACCTATATTTAAAATAATACATCTGATGTAAAACACATCTGAAACAAATGTGCGCATTCTTTAAGCAATAAAATTGCTGGATGTTTAAACGCTACCTTGCTGCTTGCATATAGGGCCGGTTATTACAAAACACCAGAGACTCCAGCGCTTTTTGGATCCTCCACATTACCCACGTGTTTCTCTTCACTGCCCACAGATGTTATCTCGGGCACAGGCGATTGATCTTCAGCGGGTAATTAGCATTTTAGGCAGAAAGGACAAGACGTGGGCCTGCTGCCAGACGCTTGACTCCAATTGAGAGAGAGAATTTGAAACTTTGCCACGGCAGGCTTGGTGGTCCGGGCGAGTTTTCCCCTGTGGGGTCAAAAAGGATCAACAAAACCTGCTCAACCCTGCTAAACCTCACCAAAGGGGGACACTGGGGCACCATGGCAACCAGGCTGCCAAAAATGGTGCTGTTATCAGATCAAAACGGCTGTGTGGACGGATGAAGGACTCGTGCTCTGCTGTGAATGCTGAGAAGCTGAGAAACGTGCATGTTACGCCGGCGAACTCGACTGAGACGGCAAACACTCGCCACAACAAACGTGCAAACGTTTACAAATAGGCATACGCCATTCATGCGTACAGATGCAAGGAGATTAGACCCATGTGTTTGAGGAGTTTGATTAAACACAGAGAAGCACATGTACAGCATGAAGGACAAGGTCACCTGGAGCTCACTGGGACTTTTTATACTTAAACACAAAAAATATAAGCAAAGATGCTTGGCAATAAACATCTAAGTTACACATAGTAATTAAATAATATACCATTTATAAAACGCCAAAAAACATTTTGTATCCATACATTTAAATATTTCGATATAGTATATACTGTATACACACACACACACACACACACCACCTTTAAAAAAAATAAGATTGTTATCAGATCAAAACGGCTGTGTGGACGGATGAAGGACTCGTGCTCTGCTGTGAATGCTGAGAAGCTGAGAAACGTGCATGTTACGCCGGCGAACTCGACTGAGACGGCAAACACTCGCCACAACAAACGTGCAAACGTTTACAAATAGGCATACGCCATTCATGCGTACAGATGCAAGGAGATTAGACCCATGTGTTTGAGGAGTTTGATTAAACACAGAGAAGCACATGTACAGCATGAAGGACAAGGTCACCTGGAGCTCACTGGGACTTTTTATACTTAAACACAAAAAATATAAGCAAAGATGCTTGGCAATAAACATCTAAGTTACACATAGTAATTAAATAATATACCATTTATAAAACGCCAAAAAACATTTTGTATCCATACATTTAAATATTTCGATATAGTATATACTGAATACACACACACACACACACACACACACCACCTTTAAAAAAAATAAGATTCATTTTTTTATATATATATTTTTAAAAGTAGCATCTTATGCTCAGCAGGGCTGCATTTATTTGATCAAAAATACAGTAAACACAGTAATATTATGAAATATTATTACAATTTAAAATAACAGTTTTCTATTTGAATATATTCTAAAATGTAATTTCTTTCTGTGATGCAAAGCTGAATTTTCAGCATCATTACTCCAGGTTCAGTGCCACATGATTCTTGAGAAATCATTCTAATATGCTGATTTGCTGCTCAACGAACATTTCTGTCTTTACAGTTCCGTTTGAACAATTTAATGCATCGTAGCAGAATAAAATTGTCATTTCCTTAAAAAAATTAATCATAAACATTTTTTTTTGGTAGGAATTGTGGTGTATTATACGCATGTTGGATGTATACTGGACAAACGCACATTCCACGCAAACCTGGCATGTTTACCACTAACTTGACGGGAGCCAATTTGAAGTCCTCAGTAACTTTTGTTCTTTATCATTACTTTTTGGTAATGAGATTCCATTGATTTGGGCTCAGAGTCGAACTCTATTCCAGAGGGAACTGGCAGTCTGGATTGAAGTTTTGTGGTTGGACTCCAACAGGACTCAAGCTTATCACACTTCTCAACAAACACAAACTGTGCTCAGCGTTTGCCACAAGAAACTCAAGCTGTGAGCAATGTCCCCAAACCTCAGCTGTGCTTAATCGCTTCAGCTGAGTGTGTGTGAGTGTGTAGCAGAAACTTCACCGGACACGCTTCTTTTTATACACCACGGCTATGAAAGCAAGTAAAACAGCCTGGCACTTCATTAAAAAATAAGAGCACATTCTCAAATATAAAAACTACAGCTTCTTCCCCCAGCTCGTTGAAGTGGAATTGCATTGTGGTTGTGAACAGGATGCTGAAATTGAAATTTGAAAATAAGGAAATGGAATAAAGATTTAAAATGAAATTCAAATAAACTTGAAATAAGAGTAGTTTTTAACTAGTATAAAAGTCTTTAAATTTAAGATTCAGTCCTTAAAAACACAGATCTGTTTAAAATGTTACCATTTTTTTATGTATTTTTTATTTACATTTAATAGATTAACTTTCTGATTAATAAAAAAAAATGGAAGACCACTTCAACTGATTTTGAATTTCATATTGATTTTTTAAACTGTAATTCAGTAAAGTCTACTGATAATTCCAATTCCATTTCCTATGTTAAAAGACAATTCACAAATTAATTTAACTACTATCAAGTTAAAAAGTTTTAAAAGTCTTGGAGTTGTATAGTCCTTAAGTTCTCAAAACATACTGGGAAGCTGCTTGAAGGTTGCAGGTTTTCACGACTCCTGATTTAGTAAGTGTTTATTTAAACAAATCATCTACTGAACACAATATCTTAGTTTAGTTTGGCTCATTTAGTTGGCAAAGCTTTGGTTCACATCACTGTTTAAAGTCACTGCAAGGTAGACGGGTTACTTTTGTCAAAGTTTCCACAAAGCCGTCACCAAACTCCACTTCAACGCTAAAAACAAACAAACGCGTCTTAAACACGCCGTGATCCTATCGCTTGTTGATTTTCTCCCTAGA